GGCATCTTTAAAAAGACGCAGCTCTTTTGTGAAGAGAAGTGTGAGTCGCGTCAAGTAAGCGAGCAAACACTCTCAGCAGAGTAAAGATACACAGAGTATAAAAGGATATAGAACGCCGGAAAGCGCAGCAGGTACGGCAGTTGAAGGCGGCGAGGCCAGCGACTCCAGAGCTCGTCCCGCTGAAAGGCTTGCTTCGACGGCGCGGCTTCTCACTCCGGATCCAGCGATGCGTGTGCGTCGCTGAAGAGATAAAAATCAGCTTGTACCAGCCTAACGAGCATATTTATAGGGTGAGACCACGCCCTTTCTGGCGGGACGTGACGATATGGGCGCGAATTGCCCCCATTGGTCATTACGTCACGCAGAGTCTCTCTCGATAGGCTGCTGCATTTGCCGCAAGAGCAACCAATAGGCGTGCGAGCTGTTTCGCCTATGTCTGCTTGCTGCTGCAAAGCGTTTTACATTAATAAAAAATTAAGGATAATTTTTGGCTTCAATATCTCGTGGAAAAGAGTTTTCCCCCTAGCGTAAAGCTATTACGCAGTACGAGAGATACTCTCGTAAGAGAACGGCGTTTTCGTTTAAAAACGCTCTCCGTCCACACTAGCGTTTTCAGGAGTTTTCCGACGTTTCAGTGTAGATGAGAAACTTCTAAATTCACCTTACTGAGCATGCGTGAAACCTCACAAAAGCTCACCGAGATGATACAGATGGAAAAATAAATAATAAAGTTACCGCGCAATTCTTCTAACAGGATAATTTTATTTAGCAAAATATCTCACCATCACTGATGCGTCCAGGTCACACTCAGTCACCATATGGGGTCTCATTTATAAAACTGTGCGTAGGATACTTACTGTTACTAAAAGTGTACGTGCGCCCGAAAGCCAAAAATGGCGTACGCAAAAAAATATTCAGACTTATAAAACCGTGCGTACGCCAGAACCTGCGCACAATTCACTTTATAAATCCCAGTCAGCGGAAGATTGTGCGCACATGCGTCTCCTCCCCGAAATAACCATATATGGAACTTACAACGCCTTGTTTTACTATGCATATTCTCATCTGCATGTCATTTGCATATGATTATTCATCCACGTGATACCATGTTTAACGGTACAAGACGTTGGTAAAATATGAAATACGGATGTGCCGTCACATTATTACATTCATATATTTTTTTTAGTAGCCTATATCCTTGCCTTGTTTTTGAATAAATAAATCAAATAGTGTATACATTTCAGAGAAAGTTTTTCTCAATCTTTTCCACTGGCCAAATAGTATTTTTAATTGGTTTATATTTTTAATGGAAACAGATAGACATTGTTGTGCACTATTTGCACGAAACAATTTTCCCAGACAATCTGCTATTAGCTATCAGTTAAAACATTAAAACACAGCATGCCAGAGGAAAAGTGTTTAAAAGCATTGCATCAACAACAAATAGGTCTATTTCTATTTATTGAATATATATTTTTTGTAACTTCTCAGTAATTTCATGTAGCTAAGTGTTTAACTCCATTAATGAGAACAGCATATTTAATCTAAATGTTTATATCAGAAGTAAAACATAGTTTAAATCATTCTTTTATTTATTTTAAATGTTATTGTGAACACATGCTTCTTGACGGTTTTGTAATGAACACTGTAATAGTTAGGACCGATGATGAGTAGTGATTGTGCTTCATGACTGTATTTGCAGACTTTGACATTTTATGATATATGTAGGCTACATTAAGGAAAATATTTCCTTTTTACACTGTGTTCTGCAGTTCTCTAATAAAAGGGTATTTCATGCTATTCTGTATCACATGTAGTCGCGCCATGTCCTCCTGCGCTCCCGTTGTGGACAATGTGACTGGCAGCGCTGATTATTATTATTATTTTTTTTATAGCCTACATTTTGAATTACGTTTGGATTTTACTAGATATAGCCTAAAACCATCGGCACAAATAACACTGTTGGATTTAATCTTCATGATAATGTGGATATAACGTATGAAATGGAGTGAAAATTAAATGTCATTAATTCTTATAATCGTCTTCTCACATTTATTTTCTACAATCTAACTTCAGTTCACGACCTCACCATCTATGTCGCCAATTCCCTTTGTCTCCAGAATGTGCGTACGCACGGCTCAAAGTTTGCTTAAAGGTGCGCACATTCTCCCGTCAAGTTTGTTTTTTTATAGATCACAACCTTTGCGTGGAAACTGGCGTACGTACGTTTCCAGCCCCGTTTTGTGCGTACGCACGCTTTATAAATGAGACCCCATATGTTTGGTCTAAAACGCAACCGCTCTCATGTTTTGCCGCAGGACAGCAAATGTGAGTACATTTTCTGTCATCTGTGCAGGACTGTGATATGAAGAGTGTACAAAGTAACATATTTTAGCAACAGTGTGAAAGTGAATAGCACATAACAGGCACAATACCGTAAACATGAATATCAATTGGTACAACATAGATCACATGACTAAATTTACGTCATCGTTTTCAAATACCTCCAGCTTCACAGTCCACACTACAACGCGAAAACAGCGTTTTAAAATTTATCCACTTTGGAGAGCGTTTTCCAAAAGCTACGTTTTCATTGACTTAAAACGCCGTCTCAGTGTGGACGGAAGGCCAAACCGGAGAGAAAAATATACGTTTTCAAACGAAAACGTATTAGTGTGGACATGGCCTTAGACCGGATTTGAGCATCCCTGGACTAGGGTATACGTATTTTAACACTTTTTGGCACTTACGCCACATATGTATATATATATAAAATGCCTGGTATGCTGTTGGTCCTCTACATGCAGCAAAAACAGGGCCGACCCGCCAAAGCATGGACTCTACAAGACCCCTGAAGGTGTCCTGTGGTATCTGGCATTAAGACGTTAGCAGCAGATCCTTCAAGTCCAGTAAGTTGGGAGGTTGAGCCATCGTGGATCGAACTTGTTGGTCCAGCACATCCCACAGATGCTCAATTGGATTGAGATCTGGGGAATTTGGAGGCCATGGGCAACACCTTGAACTCTTCATCATGTTCCTCAAACCATTCTTGAACAATGTGTGCAGTGTGGCAGGGTGCATTATCCTGTTAAAAGAGGCCACTTCCACCATGGAACACCATTGTCATGAAGGGATGTACCTGGTCTGCAAAGATGTTTAGGTTGGTGGCACATATCAAATTTATGTCCACATGAATGGCAGGACCAAGGTTTTCCCATAGCATTTCCCAGAGCATCACACTCCCTCCACTGCCTTGGCGTTGTCCCAGCAGTGCCATCACTTCCCCTGATAAACAGCACACATGACGGCTGTCCACATGTTGTAAAAGAAAACAGGACATAACGTGCACTGTGTTGTGACACATTGCCCTCGTACATCGATGAGCCTTGCGCGTCCAACACCGTCGACGTTTGTGGTTTGTCTCTCCTCGGACCACTCTAGGTAAATTCTCACCACTGCTGACCAGGAGCAACCCACGAACCTTGCTGTTTCAGACATACTCTGACCCAGTCGCCTTGCCATAACAATTTGGCCCTTGTCAAATTCGCTCAGATCTTTATTCCTGCCCATTTGTCCTGCATCCAACACATTGATTACGAGAACTGATTGTTTGCTTACTATCTAATCTACCCAGTAGCCTACTTAATATGTGGACTTATGTGTCCTGTGTGTGTGTGTGTGTGTGTGTGTGTGTGTGTGTGTGTGTGTGTGTGTGTGTGTGTGTGTGTGTGTGTGTGTGTGTGTGTGTGTGTGTATAATTTTTTTCTCTCAAAAATGTAAACATAGAAATGATCAAACATTAGAATTAACAAACATCTTCCATTATGCTTGATCAAAATTCTACCGCAGGAGTATTGCAGAACATGAGACTATAGGACCAGGGTTGCCAAATGTGGAGTTTTCCCCTATTTTGATGATTTCAATGAAGTATTTTTGAAACCAAAAGCCAATCTTCTGTCAGTCTTAGGTGTCCTGGACACCAAGATTTAATGGAAATATGAGTCAAGCTCATGATTACAATATTACATTACAGCCCTGTATGCAAGTATTGTGTATAATAATAATAATTCATTACATTTTATAGCGCTTTTCTCGGCACTCAAAGCGCTTTACATAGAAGGGGGGAATCTCCTCAACCACCACCATACAAAGACTAATAAAAATGTATTTTATTATGTTACTATGTAAATAAAAATCTGATGACATTGTGAGGCTCTTTTTAAAAAAAAATCAACTGACGATTCTTAAAAGATTCAAATGTGTTGTGCTACTTACATTATAAGTGCCTATTAATGATATCAAACCTGAATGCATAATAACGATTCCCAAATCCATTCTTTTAAGTCAGTGGGCTGTTTATGATACACAAACCTGGCAACCCAGTCTAGGACACACGAGTGACGAGTAAGACTATTAAAAGAATGGGGAAGTTTAAAATGGGTCCATGTGCTCTAAGAAATAGACCTACAAAGTCTTTTATCAAAAAACTTTCAGTTCAGACCCCATGCAGGCAGACTTTCTTATACTCTCTTCCCACAAAACACTCTTATAGGACTTGAAGAAAAAAATCCTTTAATACAAATTTGTGCGAGAACGAGGCAACCATTCGTGTAGGCTACCTGCAGCAAAAAAAGAAAAAAAAAGAAAAAGAAATTCCGTGCACTTGACTCTTTCTGTAATTTATCAGACTGTCTGTTAGTAAATTCGTAAAACGCTGTCGGTTTTGATGGAATTGGTTATAAAGAAATTTTCGTAGTTATTAATAAACTTCATTCCCTGATCCGTTAAGCACAATAGGGATTTAGGATTAGGCTACTTACTAATAACATAGGCTACTAATTTAAATATTTAAACTGATTTTTTATATACATTAAACCATATTCACAAATACATAAAATGTAATTATTTTGTAATTATCTGTCTCTTTGTAACCAATATATCGCTGATAGAATATTGCACAAGTCTACAACAGCTACTAAACGATTGAAATACACATTTACCTTGCTGATAGGCGCGCCAACCGTCCACTTTAACAGCTGTATATAGAAGTACCTGAGTCACGTCAATATGAACGGGGTTGACCACTTATTCGGGAATTGGCCATGTGTTGGCGCTCAATATGATTGGCTGGAAGCAGGGCGTCTTTCGTTTGGTCTCCTATCAGAAGCTGGGACATGTCCAACATATACAAACAACTTGAGAGAAACATTTGGCCTACAACTTTAAAAAAACGCCTGAAATGTAAGTCATCTTACATTTTAAGGCAAATTTCTCTTACATGAGAATGATAAATAGTCAAAACTTGTGACGTGTCTTTTTGCTCAAATGATATGCATACTAGCTACAATCACCATGAACCAGAATCATGGCAGCAGGTTTTATGATTTTTGAGATAATACAAAGATAATTTTTTTACCCCCAATACACTCATGATTCTGTACTGCTAGACGATTGCAACAGTATCCCTACCTATACTACAAAGGCAAACATAACTCCTGGTCTTGATGTAGTGTTATTGTCTCCAAATACCACTGCATTATATGTACAAGCACATAACCAATGAATAATGAACTTCAGTGTGACACCTCCCTTCACACCCACAACACTTCACTGAAGCCCTGCAGAACTGATTAATGATGAATAAGCTTTTAATAATCCCAAACATATAAACAGTAAATGTTTGACCGGGACAATTAATAAAAATGCACTTTTATTGAGAAACTTTTTAATTGTACACTTAAAAAAAAAAAAAAGTAAAGAAACACAAAGGGACAAACAAAAGGACTTCAAGCACGTGACAAGATGACATCTGATGTTTCAAACAAATGCTGGTCACTGATTGCAATAAAACACCAAGCAATAAAACAAAGGCATCAAAACTGTGTCATGGCTCAAAATCTTCCAGAACGTTCCCGATCTCTTGATCTCCTCCTCTCCCGTTCACGACCTCCACGGTTACGATCCCTTGAACGCGAACGTTTTTCACGAGAACCTGACTGAGAACTAGGTCTAATGGAAAGAAATTAATTTCTGTTACAACAAAATTGCCAACTACAATTAAAGGGACAAGTCTTGCCTTTAATATAGAAGGTTTTTAGTACCTTTTCCTACGACGTCCATAAAGATCTCTCCTGAGTTCTCGAGAAATGGGTTTCAAGTGCATGAAATTACAGAAACCACCTCTAGTGCACTCCCTGTGGTGAGACGAGATACAGCACAAAACATTGCTATACGCTGATTTCACGCAGCCGCCATTTTGAAATGGCTCCGGTGGGAAGAAAACCGGAAGTGTCGCCTCTAATCATAGGAGAGTCGCGAATGCGATGGCGTTTTGTTGTGTTTAATGTAGAAATTAGTTATTCTAAAAATGTACATTCATTCCATTCCATACTTTAGACTATATACAGTGAAATTCATTTATAAATAAAATTATTTTTTTATATATAATTCAGAACGTAAAAAAAGAAGCAGGAACGAACTATATACATATCCAATAGTGTAAATCGCAGCAGCAGCTTCAGGTTGGTAGTCCAAGGCATTGTTGTCTATCTGTACTTCCGGGGTTATTCCCACCGGAGCCTCGCTTTCGATTTCAAAATGGCGGCTGCGTGATATCAGCGTATTAGTGCATAAAACCAAGTTTATTTATTTCATGGAATTCATGTCAACACTAGTATTAGTGTTACATCACTAAGGTATCCACTTAGGCACAAAGCAAGAATGAAAACAGGACCACGACAATCATGAGGTGGACAAATATATATATATATATTAGGGCTGTCAAATGATTAATCACGATTAATCACATCCAAAATAAAAGTTTTTTTTACATAATATATGTGGGTGCACTGTGTATAATTATTTTGTATATATATATATAAATACACACACATGCATGTATATTTAAGAAAAAAATATAATTTATATATAAAATATTTATATTTATATATAATATAAATTATATATAAATCTATATACAGTATATACATGAAAATAATTCTTAAATATATACAAGCATGTGTGTGTATTTATATATATAAAATAATTATACACAGTGCACCCACATATATTATGTAAAAAAAACTTTTATTTTGGATGTGATTAATCACGATTAATCATTTGACAGCCCTAATATATATATATATATATATATATATATATATATATTTATTTATGACTAAATTGTCCTAACCCCCCACTCTTTGATATTTTTAATGCTGCTCTCTTGCACTCCACTATGCAGTGTTGTTGTTAGGAAGACAAAATGTTAGGCTGGTCCGCCTCAGCAGTCTAACAGCGCTCATCAGTCTCAAAATGATTGAGATGGCCAATCATAAAGGCAGAGATTGTTACTGTTTACAGAAGCCAAACATAAATAAAGGCAATGCTTCAGTTTTAAAACTGAAAGAGTGCGAGCTAAAATGTAAGCAGCTAAAAACTTAATATTTTTATGATAGGTATGTTAAACCAACCAAAAGTAGTATGATATCAAGTGACCCAAATTGGGCACAGGATTAAGAGTGAATGGGTCTCATTCATGAAACACGAGCAGAACGAATTTTTGTGTAAATCGTGTGTAAAGTGGTTCTGGCGTAAATTTTTGGATTCATTAAAATGTTCGTATTTTCCAAATGTTAGTTGGTACGAAAGAAATCTACACCTGCTCCCAGCCACGCGTAAATAGTGAGTTTAACATCCGAACGTTTTGCTCATTAATAACTAAGGCTGCATTTGAATTCACCTTAATCGGGTACATGCATTTTGAAAAAATATTATATATAGTAATTACATACGTTTTTTCTTTTTACTTCTGGGACTGTTTGATTAACAGATGAAACTCCATTAACTGCATCTGTAATATGCTGCCAAGCTTCCTTTTCTTTAGGACCTGATATGCCACTATAGCCTACACTTGAAAATAAAATGTGGTGTTTTGAATGAACTTCTGATAATAAAACTTCGATTTCTGCATCTGAGACATTTTTCTTTTTCATTCATGTTGAAATCCTTCGTTTGGTGTCATAATATGATGCCCATATATAGTTGTCAGTCGGATTTAATGGGCGGGATTTATGGTAATTGAGAATGAGCGTGCACGCACGTCCCATTTACGACTGATTGGAATTCATTAACACACACACATTTCACTATCACATCTGACGTTTACGAAGTATTTGTGAATCAGGAGATGAGTTTTCGGGAAGGTCTCTTTACGCGCAAATCACTCTCATACTTACTCGTATATTTACGAATGTTTCATGAATGAGACCCAATGTGTGTATATTTTAAAATATATTATTTGCAAAAAGTTTACATTGATCGCTTTGTGAAAATTCCATTTTCCCTTAAATGCTTTATTTATTAATTATTCAATAATAAAGACCCCCCTCCCTTAAAAATATTCAATCAGTCATTAATATGTGCCTTAAAATGTGACATATTATATTAAAATGTTTTGTTAGACACTGACCCCATTTCATATTGTCTGCAGCAGGCTTCTCTGAAGTCTGTTACTGGGGAAAGTTCTGAATGTATCGGCTGGCCATTAAACCAGCGATTATTCAAGTCCAATACAGCCTTTTCAGCATCCTCTTCCCGCCGAAACTGTTAAGACAATAAAACAAAAGAAAAGGTTAAACCTTTCCTAGTCTAATTTGAACGCAGGCTGTTACAGTTCCATTGTTTGAAATACTGAAATTAAATATTCTATAAAGTGGTCTTTTAATCAAGCAAATGTCACAAAACATTAATACATAATTTCAAGTCTACCTTCACATAAACATTTCCAACCAAATGATCACCAAGGTTATCACACACATTCATCTCCTCGACCTCTCCGTACTTCTCCTCCATTTCTGTAAAGACTTCCTGTTGAAATCATAAACAATCAGCATTACAAAATGTAGGAGTAACTACTTCAAGGGATAATTCATCCAAAAAAGAAATTCTGCCATCATTTACTCTCTCATGTTGTTTAAACCTAAATGAATTACTTTCTTCTTTGTAACACAAAAGAAGATATTTTGGAAAAAATATCTAACATTCTTCAAATTGTCTACTTTTTTTGTTCCAAAGAAGAAATAAAGTCCTTTTTTTCAGTTTTGGAAGGACATGAATGAGAGTAAATGTGATTACAGTTTATTTTTGGGTGAACTCTCATTTTCATTTAACAACTGATTCTTATTAATCATAAGTATTATGGTGTATTATAAGCACAACATAAAAATATTGATATCACAAAATAAAAATTATGTAAAAAGATGATTGTGAAAAAATAAACTGAGGAAGATCTACTGTAAAATGTGCCACTCAGACCTCCACAACTAAAAACCTTGGGTTGCCAGGATTTCTCCATCACCCAACCAGCTTGGCTTTTAATGGCTTCATCTAAGTGTAAATATTAGCCTTGTCCTTGTTGGGACATCGCATTAAGTAGATGTTAGATGTGCACATTAATAGAAAATGTGTAGTTTACTCGTGTGTGGCATTTTGACCCTTGGAACATCAAGTCATTTTTAAATCAGGTCCACCAGTCTAATGAAGCCAAAAAGCTCATCCATGATGAAAACTCACCTCAAAAAACTCGTCATAATGCTCCTGCATTTCCACATCACTAACAGCACCTAGCAACAATTTTTTTAATACAATTAGAACACAGAAAATTGTATCAGAGAGCAAGATATTTTGATATATAGCCGCCATTGCATGCAAATAAGTAAGTAATAAAATGATAGATTCACTGGCCCACCATAAAACTGGATAGTGTTAAAAAAAAAAAAAAAAATTACATAATATATGATCTGTTGATCATCAGACTTGATATTGAATTTACTATGGCATATATTTATTATTTGTATAAACATTTTGAACTGAGAATTCAGAGAGGAAGCAAATCTATGTCAGGCACAGTAAGCCTTAGTATTTATTAAATAATAATACAGGTCAAAGCCAGGTCTTGTTCCCTTGATAAACAACTTTACATCTCATTATAGGTCTCACTGTTATACATTACTCATACAATTCCCAAGCAAATGTTTTTAAGTGTGATGCATACTTGGGGATATAAAGTGTCTGCAAAATCTAAATCCTGGAATAAATACACCTTCATTATACCTCTAAACATATGGCCATGGTACAACAACTAAAGGATTTTAGAAGTATTTGTGAAAAGTGTATTTTCCAAAAATAGTATCTGAAAAGGGATTACATAATTGAACACTGTAAAGGATGCGTTTGAAATGTGCCAGTGGTAAAGAAATGTTCAATGCCACAGACTCCTGCAAGCGAGTGGGGGGGACAACTTACAGTGTAAACCATCAGCAGACTGGGCAGAGTTTTGAGGGTTACGGTATATGTTCATGAGGACAATAGTCTGAAATACAAAATGTGCATTTTTGAAAAACAAACTCTAAGACTGTTTAGCACCCAGGTCTATAGACCACATGGGATATCAACATTATAAATAAGGCAATTAATGAAAACAAGTGAATTGGGAAGAGAGGGGTCAGCAGGACAGGTCAGAGATCCATCCAAAATGACAAGAGAACCTGTGCGTAAAGGTCTCAGGCCTTTGTTGAAGCAGAAGACTGTCTTCTGTAAACAATGTAAATATGTACAGCTTATTTAAAACATTTTAAACAAGGGCTCTAAATAAACTCATGCAGTTCATTATATATTTTTATATATATTTTCAGAGTTATGTCCAAAACAAAAACATGACATCTGCTTTTTTCAAAGTACTGAGTCCTTTACTGGAGGGAAATAAAGATGAGTGGCACTGAGTAGTCTGCACTGCACTCATACTTACCTTGACATTAAATTAAAAAAATCAGCTTTGCTAGGTAGGAATCAAAACAAATCCAGCAACACTTATACCCATTTTCCATCAATGTGTTGCTGGTTTTCATGCAATCTGGGAGCCTGTTAGCCTGGGAAAACCGAGACAACTTCCGGCAAATTTTGATTTGCTCTGAAAGTTAGTCTGGCAAAGAGCTCATTTAAGCCCATTTCCAATCCGTCGAAATCGAGGCACCAATCAGAAACTTTGGGGCGGGCTTTACACGATGACGACAGCGCTGGGATTTTGAAGCAGATTTTGTAGCCTACATTACAAAGATGGATGCCACAGTCGAACATCACTCGTTCGAATCAGCTATCGCGTCTGTTTTAAGCGATTTGAACGTTTCCTTTTAGTTAAAAACCGAGCAAACAACAACACTCGGAGATGTTTTTCCGCCGCTCTGCATACGTCATCTCCTTCATCGCTCTGATTCGGTATAGGTCTATCCGCGACGTCCGTTGGTGACGCCCCTCTGGAAATGATTTGTCTATGACGCTTTGCCAGACCATAACTCAGTTACAACTGAGAATGGTCTGGTTTTAACCAGGCTAGGAGCCTGTCACAAACTGGCCAAAAAAAATCAAATGTGCCATAACGGGTCTTATGTGGTTGGGCATTCAGCATTCTTCTCAATGACTCCTACTCTTTTTCTATGGTTGCAAGCTCACTAATTTGTCTTGTATAGCTGTAGAACAACATATTGCAAGTAGAGCAGTGTTAATTTTGACAACAAATTTTGATTTATTTTGTAGTTATAGTCTTCTAACTAAAATGCCATTTAGTTTTAGTCATATTTTAGTCATCTGAATTGTTTCTTTTAGTCAACTAAGATCATAATATTTTAGTAGACTAAATATACAGTAAATCTACTCAAATCTAACAGGTTTAGTTCAATTATAATGCATCAATTAATAATTTCTCTAATATTTCCAAACTCATAATATACTCCTGGAGAAAACATTATTAACCTGGTAATATGAATGATAATAAGGCTTGAACATGCAATACAGACACAGATTTAACTGCTGTGACATATAACGTATTTATTTATCTTAAATTAAATAAAACAACTTCTAATCAAGGAACAAGAACATGGTCTTCTTTTCAATTAATGATATAGGCCAATGCATTTTCTTAACAACCTTAATTAATCCTTATTAAAGATTTCAAAGTAATTCAGTCAAGAACATTGAGTGATTTTCTCTTTTTCTTTTGTTGTTTAATTAACATTAATAACGGACAACAGGTTATTAGGCTGCTGTCACTTTAAGGCTGAATACACTTAAGACATAACCGACTGTTTACATAAATACTTGCAAAACTGACATTGACACAATTTTGTGTGTATTTGTTTGTTCAAGAGCAGAAAGACACGAAAGAGAGCCTGTGTGCTGACGTCTGAAAGGCAGCTTTCTGTGTTCGCATAGAAAACCGGACTGAGCTCTCTTTCGCGTCGTCATGTTTAAAAAAAAATGTATCCATATGTCTGCTCTTCTTTTTCTCCCAGACATTTACATTTTATGCAAGTGTATTCCCGCCAAGTAGCTTGTATCTACCACACATTATGACTGGATCTCTTCCCAAATCGTCCCACTAACATTGGTCTCGTTTTTATTCGTTGATGAAAATGTCAAGTTTTTGTAATTCAAAACTGGATTTTATGTAGTTATCGTCTCGTTGTCGACAGTGAAAAAATGTAGTTGACGAAAAATTATTCATCAACGAAATTAACACTAAAGTAGTGCACACGTCGCCTACGCAAGATCACTGCTGAACGCTTTTGCTAAGAGACATTTTTGTTTATTTATTGCGTGCAGTTTCAAGCTGCTCCTTACCGCAAGCATTACCAAAGTAGCTAGATAACTTATTGATGCTGTTGTTGTTTAGGAAACTTTCCCTAGTGAGAAAACATTTTCCCGCCCGCGTTCCCTGATGTAATTGGTTCCTGGGGCCTCATTTATATAAAACACATGTATAATCGGATTTGATCTTGAATTCTATGGATTTCATCCTAAGTCAAAAGTGAGGAACAAATCATGATTTATAATGGCAAAACATTACGTATTTGTATGCCTTCAGCAACTGAAAAGTATGTATATAAACATTTTGTGTCCATGTATACCAGTAATTATTAAAGTCCAAGTCCAACATTGTTTATTAAATGCTAAAAATGTAAAAAATAAATAGACAATCAAAATATGCATTAATATAAGTATATGCACAAATGAGCAGCAGTTTCGTAATGAATTACATCAATCAAATTAATTCATTAATTAAAAAATGACTTTTGATATTATGGTCTCTATAGGGGTCCACAGAAATAAAATATTGTCAATTTTAAAGTTAAATGCATCAATCTGGTGCACTTTTTGAGAGCTCCTCCAACCCATTTTCAGTGACAAAATTTAACAGAGTAAAACATATTTTGATTGATTTGTACCTGGACTCAAACATCTCTTTAGTTGTGATATAGTGTCTCAGTCCACATTAATACATTTACACTGGTGTTTTTACAATTTGAATATAATAATAATAATAGTTTGGATTAGACAGATTAGACTATGGCAGGGCTGCCACAGTCTAGGTAATGGGAAATACTGTATCCTATATGCTTGCCCTTGGTGATAAGTGCCATACTTCTTCTGAACTATAAAAAGATATTTGTGAAATAAATCGTTCGTTGGATTGTTCAGAAAATTGTTGTACGTTCACATTTAGGATCACTCTGCGCGCATCTTTACTAGTGAGACCCCTGGTTCCAGATAAAAAAAGCTTTAAAAGGATGGTGCAGTAACAGTTTTTCCAAACCAGAACTGTTTTTTCTTTGGTGGAAAAACGGGTAAAACGGTTCAAGAATGGGAATCATGTCAGGCAAGGAATCATGTCGGTGGAAAAGATGCATCAAAAATTAAGGGACTCTTTACAAAACAGCTAATCCAAAACACATTTACTGTTTGATAGAAACAGCACTGAGGTTTTCGATAAGGTTTTACTTATGTGTGTAATGTACTAATGTGCAGTAGTGGTCCAAAGTATCAGTGCTGAGGCTGCCTCTGCTAGAGTTTTACTAAAATGGGGATTTCTTGCTTACCCCATAAGCTAGCATTATCTCATGGAAAAGCGGCACTTACAGCGAGAGGCGTCGGCCGTCTGTGCACTGTTTTGGGTGTTACGGTAGATGTTTTGAATCAAGATGGTCTGCAAAGGGAGAAATTAAAATATGTATACAAATATTTCCCAATTGGCTATTTAAAAGAGAGCTGCAAATGCAAACGGCTGAGGCAGTTGTCTCTGTGCATCAAATAGCCTGAAATTTGGAAGGGCCAATATTCAATTCAACAACTCCCCCCCCCCCACCCCCCACCCAATCCTCCCCAATGCATTTTCTTCGGTGCGTCTCAGAAACTACAATGGATTTCCCAGCAGTCATATATCAGATCTCAGGAGCTTTAAGACAAAACAGTCCTAAATGCTACTGAAACTATGAATGAATTATGAACTACAAATGACCCTGTACACCAAATGTCATGAATGTGTTACGTGACTGAAAGGTAGTCTGCAAAGTAATATTGATTACATGCAAATTACATTACAATGCAACACTATATCAAATATAAAAAACAACATGCATGTAAAAGTGAAAATGCAAATACAGGGCTACTTTCAGTTAAACTGAAATTCGCGACGAAAGTGTACCAAGAAATGACAGTGTGAGCAGGGCTGTTTCTTACCATTTTCACACCCTAGGCAAGAACCCCATTGGTTTTTCCCTTTCAATAATGGAATAGTAGCCTATTATTTTTTTGATGAAACGTAAACATGTTATATTATAACACTTAAATTAGCCCAAGCATATATTAAATTATTGTTTTGTAATATTAATTGACATTCTAAGTTAAAAGGATAGGTCACCCACAAATTTAAATTCTGTCATTAGTTACTCACCATCATGTCGTTCCAAACTCGTAAGACTTTCGTTCATCTTCGGAACACAAATGAAGATGTTTTTGATGAAATCTGAGAGCTTTCTATCCATCCATAAACAGCTACGCAACTGACCCTTTGACACTTTAAAAAGTTAATAAAGAGAAGGTAAAACTAATCCATATGAATTGAGCGGTTTAGTCAAAAATTTTCTGAAGATACATGATAGCTTTATATGATGAACAGATTGAATTTAAAGCTGCAGTCCGTAGCTTTTTTGGGTTCAAAATTATCCAAAATAATTTGAGAAAATACATAACCAGCCAGTGTTCAAAACTATCTGCTTGCCTTAGCTCGATTCAAAGCGGTAAGCTTGTAATAATGTTTTTAATTCCAGTGGTACTGGTGGATTTCTGCGGGAGATTCGAGCATGTCTTTGCGTCATTACGTCACATCTGTACACATAAAGAAGGAGTCTCGGCTAGTAGGCTATATTGCGTGTGAGGATGTTGGAGGTGGAGATTTATAGCCTTTTCTCACAGCACTTGATACAATTAAACTTATCAATTTGATGGCGGATCCAGAAAGGTTCAAACGACAATCACCAGTGACAACAGATTCACCCGTTGCAAAATGCAAAAGACTTCGTTCGGACTTCGGAGTGGCTACAGAAAAAAAGAGACTGCAAACGGCCCATGCGAAAACAAGGATACATATCGGAAGGACATTAAATGTAGTCACGCAATGCTGACGTTGTTAACATTAACAATTTGAGAACAAAGTATAATTTGCACGGTTTTACGTGATATGATAAGCGATTGTTAGATTTAATCAGCGCGAATTACTGCAATGTCAGAACCAGAACAAAAGTGGATGTTACTTACTTGTTTAGATGACATTTTCCAGTGAAAATTATTATGTTGGTCATACTTCCAAAAAGAATAATCTGTGATTTGAATGCCAGTATCCACACCGGCATGGTGACTGACAGCTGCACACTCTCCTCAAACATTGGAGCTTTAAAGGGATAGTTCACTTTGAAATTAATTTTTGGTATGTTTTAGCTTACCTCAAGGGCATCCAAGATATAGGTGTCTTTGTTTCCGCAGTAGTTTCAATTTTGATATTTTTAGGTCAAACCGTTCTTGTCTGTCAGTCATATAATGCAGGTCTATGGTCACTTCCTCAAAGAGCATGCACAGAGAAGTCCAAATTAAACATGATTTAATGACTCGTAAATGTAAGTACACATTGATGGCCTAAGACACGAAACGAGCGGTTTGTGTGAGAAAACGAACATTATTTATATCGTTTTTACCTCTTGTAAACACAGCCACGTCCAAGTGATCTGAGGGCGCGGGCGCTTCGGTCTTTTCCGGAAAGCGCCGGAAGTGATCTCTCGCGCGTGTACGTCACTCATACAATTGTTTTATTTATTTATTTTTTTTAAATTGTTTTCTTTTACGACGGTTTAAACATCCCGGATAAGCGCAAATTAGTACCATTTTAATTAGCCGTCTTACCTACAATCTCTGTTCTGTGTAAACAATGAGTGACGTACACGCGGCGAGAGATCACTTCCGGCGCTTTCCGGAAAAGACCGAAGCGCCCGCGCCCTCAGATCACTTGGACGTGGCTGTGTTTACAAGAGGTAAAAACGATATAAATACTGTTCGTTTTCTCACACAAACTGCTCGTTTCGTGTCTTAGGCCATCAATGTGTACTTACATTTACGAGTCATTAAATCATGTTTAATTTGGACTTTTATTCACATATAAACATTCATCAACTCACACATCAACACAAGCATGTTCACCTGACATGAGGATCATTCTTGTGTTAAACAGCACATCTGAGCTTTCTCAAGAGGTTTGTTCTTGCGCATCAAGAAGGTTCGGTTGAGATTCTGTTTTTGCTGATCAATGTTTATATGTGAATAAAAGCCTAAATTAAATCTGTTCATCATATAATGTGATCGAGTCTCGTCTTCAGTAAATTTGGACTTAACCGCTTAATGATCTCTTTATGATCTTTTTGAAGCGTCAAAAGTTGCGTAGCTGTCAGTGTCAACGGAGGGATAGAAAGCACTCAGATTTGATCAAACAGATAATTTGTGTTCCAAAGATGAACGAAAGTCTTGCGGGTTTGGAATGTCATGAGGGTGAGTAATTAATGACAGAATTTACATTTTTCGGTGAACTATCCCTTTAAACTAACAAAAACCAAAATCACATACTAATGCCTTTTCGTTACAGATATTTTACCCTACCTTTCCCTATAACTCTGTTAACAAAACATTTTTTTTAAATAATATTTAAAAACATTTCTTTTTAATGCTATTTTTCAGCTGCATAAATCTACTTAGCACATGGTGAATATTTTGCTAAAATTTTAAGTGGTTGAGGCGCTCAAGCTGGTGGCCCCATGGCAATCGCCTAGTTCGCCTGTGCTTAGAAATGGCCCTGAGAGAGTCATTTTAATGCAATTACATATTTATTGTAATGTAACTGTAACACATAAGTTCAATTATAGATTTATCACACAATAACATTCTACATCGGAAACAAATAAAGTATTGTTTCACTTTAAACATAACAACCCATTTTACAGAGGTGGAAATAAAACACACGGGTGTAAAGTTAGAGGTGTAAACATACCTGACTGAAAGTTGGTTTATTGTGCAATCTAGAGCACCGATCTCCATGACGACAAGCTCCAATTTTGAAATAAAATGAACAATTGACCCTAAAAATACGAAAAAGGACACATACTGTTAAGACATTAAAACCATATGACACGTAGGCCAAACGTTATCGACATTGACATGTGACACATGATCAGACAGTGTCAGATTGTACCATTTTAAAATGATAACAACGATAGATAGAAACACAAAGCCAAACATAAATTTGAAACCCTACATAAATCAATTCTTCCATTCAACTCATGTTGTCTGTACATCTGATATGCATTTAAATAACACTTTATGAAATTGGCGCCAGTGCGATTGCACTGCGGAAGCTTTATACCAGTGTGATCACACACACACCCACCCACACACACAAAAAAACATTGTTTTGTGTCCAGACCGGATGCAAGCACTCAGCAGACAGTTCATATAGCTGTATTAGATTACAAATCAATTAATACTGCACTGTTGAAACAAAATAAATCAATATAGCTTACTTGTCTTTTTCTGTACCAAAAATGGACGCAAGATACTCCGCCATCTTGAACGGCTACGAATCTGCGATCTACGTCATCATTATGACATAACTTCCGGCTTCGCGAGCGCGCGCACACGTCTACCTACTGTAGATGTCACAAAAGACATTATTGCTCATTATGCTCAACATTCAGAAACCTTCACTCTGCCCTGTCGTCAATTTATTAATATAATTCAATCTTATTTGCAATTACGTTAAAATGTCTTTTGTTTTTTTTAAAGATGTTTTCTTCTAACAGGAGATGCTGTTCTGTTTCCGTCTCAGTGTCTACGATTATGTTATCACTATCCATCCGCTCCGAAGTGGTTTTTATTAAATATCAAGTAGGCTACGTGAACAATATAACAATGTACAAAGAGTTTAAACAAAGAGAACATTAAATAAGTATGGCTATCGATGGATGTCGTAAAACTTCAATTGCAGGGTAGGCTAATCCATGTGACAATAAATAGAAAATATTGGAGGAAATGGAAGTCATATCAATCAAGTGGTGTGGTGTGGTGATTTTAATGCACACAGCACATTATGGGGAGTAGCCTACAAACACAGATTATAACAGACTGATCATCATAGAAGACATGTTTAGATTGGGGAGGATTAGTGTGTATCAATGATGGAAGCTATAGCTACAAGAGTTGATTTGTCACAGGGAAAATATTCAATGTTAGACCTGACATGACTAGTCTCAGAAAGTTTAGCTGGAAAATGTGATTGGAAATAATTAAATCAAAGTAGTATGATAATTTTCCTGTCGGCAGTACAATCGGTTTAGATATGAAAGAATGCCAAGGTGGAAGTTTAAACCAGCCAACTGGGACAAATGGAGATATGTCATAGCAAAATGTCTGAAATAGTAACTCTATGGAAGTGGAAGATGTAGAAGTTTTTTTATTATAAGTTATGTGAAGTTCTTCAGAGTACTGCTGAAGAAGTAATGGTAAAAAGAAGGCAGATTACAGGAGGAACTTAAAATTTATCAGAAGAAATTAGGAGGTATAGAAAAAACCTGAGTAAGAACCCTCAATTACTGGAGGAAAAGGGACCATCTGTAAGGATGTACGTTAGATTCAGAGTTTACCCTGTGTATGAGTTGAAGAAAGCGCTTGCAGGGGTTAAACAAACTTTTCGAAAGAGATGACATTTGTTATACGATGGTAAAACATCTATCAGAGATATCACTAAATATAATTTTGAGCCTCTTTAATAAGGTGTGAGAGTCAGGGAAGTTTTACATTTACATTTAGTCATTTAGCAGACGCTTTTATCCAAAGCGACTTACAACTGAGGACTAAAGCAAGCGAGTCATCGTGAAGAGGCAAAAACAACACAAGAAGTGCTCAAAATACAAAATTCAGGCACTGCTCAGAGTAGCATAAGCCAGACAAGGGAGGATTTAAAGGAAAAAGAAATTGTTTTTGAAATTGTTTAATGTTGTTTTAATTTTTTTATGAGGTTAAGTAAACGAGTATTTTTCGATGTTGAAAAAACATACGACATGATGTGCAATAAGTAGTAGTGAGGGACTTTTAATAAAATTAGACAGAATGGAAATAAAAAGAAGAATGTACAACTGGATCATGAATTTCTTGTTTAAAAGAACTTCAAGTTAGAGCGGGTTCTGCATTTTCTCAGATATATCCAGTGGAGAATGGAACACCTCAAGGAAGTGTTTAGTCCTATTCTGTTTAATTTAATGATTAATGACAACACAAATAAACATGGGAAAGGTCCTTAGATGACAGCACTGTGGAAAAGGGGGCACAATGTGTGGTATGTGGAGATGTGTATGCAGAATGCTGTTAAAAAAGTAGAGAATTGGGCTAATGAACGAGGTTTCCGTTTCTCTGTAGCAAAAACTCAGGTGATCTGTTTTACAAAAAGGAAAACCAATTTGATATATTAAAATGTATGAACAACAACTGGAATAAGTGTCAGTAATCAGATTTCTGGGAATGTGGATGGATTCAAAGCTACATTTTAGAATTCATATTTAGAAAATGTAAAAATAAATGTGAGTGTTTGGCAGGAGCAGCTATTGATTATGGCATGTTCTGCATCTAAAACACTACTTATAAAGATTGAGGCAATTCAATCACAAGCACTGCGTATATGTTGTGGAAGATCATAACAGCAGTACAAGTAGAGATGGGTGAAATGCCTCAAGAAATTCGAAGGTTCAAGTTAAATATGAGATACTGGATAGTTGGATAGTCATCTAGTTAAGAAAGTTCTGAAGGATTGTTGAGAGTATGATTATAAAAAAATTACAAGCTTTGGATGGACTGCCAATGAGGAGGCACAGAATATTGGATTAAGTGACATCAATATTGCCTCTTCTGTGACAACTTCAGTAATTCCCCCTTGGCTTTACCCTATGCCTGTGGTTGATGTTCAATTATATGAAGAAAAACATAACAAGTAAAGAAATATTTTAACAAGTATAGCAGTGCAGCAATACATTGATCAAACAAATTATAGCACAGTATACATATGGCTCAAAGGATCCTGAATCTGGAATAACAGCAGCAGCAGTTTACGTACCACACTTCAAAGTCAAAATATCAAAAATAATCTCAAATCATAAATCTGTTTTTACTACAGAGATAATAGCAATATTCCTAGCTCTTCGGTGGATAGAAGTACACCCAATAAGATCAGTAATTTGTACAGACTCCCTTTCAGTTTTAAGCATGTTAAGTGGAAAATCAACAGCAAGACAAGATATGATATTTGAAGTGAAGCAGAGTCTATTTAGAATAGTACAATCTGGATTTACAGTAAACTTCCTGTGTACCATCACATATGGGTGTGAAAGGAAATGAAAAGGCAGACCATCTGACTAAACAGGCTTTTACAAATGTCAATGAGTAAAGCAGAAGTAAAAGGGTTAACTGGGATAGTGGAACAAAAGGTATAGACACTTTAATCACATTCAAGAAAAACAGGATCGAAGACGTTTTAATCTCAAGAATGCGTATTGGACATTGTTCGTTAAATCAGTGTCTGGGGCATGAAACTGGAAACTGTGACATGTGGTCAAGCAGAATCAGAAGAATAGCCTACGTAGGCCTACTTATAGTATGATATGAAAGAGCAAGATTTCAACTAATTCAAACTTTAAGATCTTTGGGAATAAATAACTTGTCACTTCAGGTTCTGTTAGGAAATGGCACAAACAATAAAAAATATTTCATGAATTATTTATTTTCTTAACCCTCAGACGGTCTTCGTTTCGGAGTCACATCCTGGGCCTTCCCGGTCAGAAGTGACCGGACACCTAAAAATGAAACTTCCTCCATCCCAGTAAAACCAATGCAATTTATTTTTGTTCTATAATATTTATTCTTTTTAATTTAGTATTTTGAGACAATTTGATTGAACTTATTAATATTTATGGTAAATTTTTTGCCATTGAAAATAATGAATTTTTTTATTTTATTTTTATTTTTTATTTATTTTTCTTCTATGCAGTATTTTCGGTTAAAATAGAGACTAGGCTTTCAAAAAAAAAAAAAAAAAAAAAAAAAAATTTTTATTAAACATAAAATTAAATAAATCATGTTATTGCATGGGTTTACCACTAGATGCCTGTATAGCTCTAAATGGAGATGCTTGTGAATTCTAGTTGTTTTTGGACCAAATAACTTACTTTTAAGATGTGGATTGAATGTATTTTTTTAGAAATTCTCAAATAATACTTTTTGCCAAGGTTTATAACATTTTATTAATTATTATTTTAATAATTTTAATAATTAGTATATTAATTATATATATATATATATATATATATATATATATATATATTAATTATGATTATTAATTATGTTATGTTTTTCACTCTTGATGTTTTAGAGTTTCACCCCTTCATTGCTGAGCACTTTTTTCCTCATCGTGGCCGATTTGTAGATAATTTTTGTGGTTTTGTCAATTTCCCATTCATTTCCTATGGGGGTCATTTTTGACCGAAGACCAAAATCGTCACTATTTTTTTTACGACCACTTAGCATGCTCGGATCATGAACTCAATTTTTTTGTGTGTTCACATATCTAATGCCAGAAAAGTCACCAAGTTTCGTAACATTCCGATGAAGCTGTGATTTAAAAAAATTCAAACAGATTTTTTGTAATCTGAATTTATTGGTGTGTATGTGTATAAAAGTGTGTTTGTATGTGTGTGTGTGTGGGTGGGTGTGAATTTTTTGCACTCTTGATGTTATAGAGTATCACCTCTTTACTGCGGTGTACTTTTTTTTAGAATCGTGGCCGATTTGTAGATTGTACAGACAAAAATTCAGAGAATTTTTTTGTTTTTGTAAATTTCCCATTCATTTCCTATGGGTCGGTCATTTTTGACCGAAGACCACAAGTGTGACTATTTTTTTTACGACCACTTAGCATGCTCGGATCATGACCTCAATTTTTTTTTGTATTCACATACCTAATGCCATAAAAGTCACCAAGTTTCATAACATTCCGATGAAGCTGTAATTTTTAGAAATTCAAAACAGAAAATTTTCCCCTCATAAATGACCGAAGACCGTCTGAGGGTTAAAAGAAAAACGATACCAACTTCCCAACTCCACACTCAGGGAAGGAGTTGATTCGGAATGACGCATATTGTGTGCGCTTGACTGTAGTGAGGGGCTTTGAAATCGAACGTGGCGGACGAACCATTGAGGGACGGAAGGATTTGAGCGTGCTACTGAGAACGAGCGTTAGTATTGGCGAGCTAGCAACAACTGTACCGTGAATGTAATTATCATGGGTAAAAGTACGGATGGTGATAGTGATAGTATGTCATGGCAGGATGTAAATAAAAAGAGGAAAGGGAGGTGCGATAGTACTGGAAGTTCAATCCATGATGCGGAAGTGGGCGACATGTCCAAAAAAGCTAAGCCTGCAATGATAAATGTGAGAAAGGATGATGAACAAACTGAATGGAAAGTGATGATAACATTCAAAAAAGAAGGGGGGGCATTTTCATCCACTAAAACTAACAAAAGCAATTGAGAAAGAAATGCAAGA